GGGTGACTGCAGCAAAAAAAAGAAGAAAGAAAGTAAAAAGAAAAAAATATCTCCCTCTAGCGGGAACTCGTGTCCTTCGGGTACACATAGAAGAGAGTAACCTTTTTTTTTTTTCTTAGAAGAGAGTAACCACAACACCACAGCGCTTATCAAGTGGCAGACTTCCCCATAGAATGTTATGCGCAAAGAAAATCGTCAAATCTATCAATGTTTTTCACAGTTTTGATAAGAAAAGGATTAAGTCGTAACGGAGGTATTACCTGGGCTAGTTATGAAATGAGCGGTCTCGTGTACCTCTAGTTATGGATGGGTGCGCCTGGTAGAGACGCCATCTGATTGGCTGAGCCGGGTGGCAGTCACGAACAAAGCCCCTGAGGGCATGGCCGTTGACCAGCCAACTGGCCAGGGGACTGCTAAATTTTAAAAATTACGTCACGTTTAAGAAAAAGGATTGGTCATATCATGTTCTCGTTCTGTCCCAATGATACAACGAGGCAACAATTTGCCTACTTGCAATTCTGTCCTTGAATTTCTTTCTTTGTCTCTGAATTTGCGTCACTTTTGGAAATCATCTCCTGAGCGACACTGCTTTTTCTCTTGTGGATTAATTCCGTAAAAAAGTTTTTTGTGACTTCAAATACAAAGATTTATACCTCTTGGAGTTATATCGCTGTGTTTCAAGTCCACTGTTGCATACTTCTGTGAGTTAAATCGCAGTGTTAACAAACTTTCCTTGCAATTATTCCTGGGACCCTTACACGTCTGGACGTTTGATCAGGAAAACACTTTAGTTCAGTTCTTGACGTAAGTGCGTGCTTTATCAACTGTGACACAAAGTGCTCGATAGAGTTAGCGGATGACAAGAAAATACGAACTGTGTGACATTTCACGGGTATTTTTCCTCGTGAAAGTGGTCGGTGTGGTTTTTGTTCGGTGCTACATCGTGAAGAACTTCAGTATGTCCGCTATGATGAACCTTCTCCCCGAGGTCTACCAGACCTCCTCGGTCAGTGTAACAGAGGCGCTTGGTCTGAAAGAAGAAAGGAGAATAGCGAAATGTGGTTCGTGCCAGGTCGTTGTTGCTACAGATGTGAATGACCCAGCCAAGAAGAAGGCTTTGAAAAGACTCATGTTTCTTGGGAAAGAACGTGATTACCGTAAGAAGCATTTCTATTTCAGCAACGAGATTCGATTTCTCCAAAACGTACAACATTCCAACATCATCCAGGTTGAAAAAGCGCTGGTATGTCCGGGAGAGTTTGTCATAATGATGGAATACCACCCGATCGACCTCTATGGCGCTATGCCTTGTCTCACGGACGCCGAGATCACCAAGTACTTTACTCAGGTCGTAGACGCCTTGCTCTATCTGCATGACCGGCACATCGTTCACGGAGACGTCAAACTTGAAAACATGTTGATAGACATGCAAGGAAACGCAAAATTATGCGACTTCGGTATGTCCCAGATCGTTCCCAACTAGAGTTCTAGTCTATGGGGCGGCACTCGCGCATACAACGCACCTGAGTACACCAGAGGTCAACCTGTGGAAAATGTCTTTAAACTAGAAAGCTTCTCTCAGGGAGTCTTTCTCTGTGCCTTGTCGCTCTACGTATACTCACTCAAAGGCTTGAACTACCTTGAGTTGCTGAGAGGTGCCGAGTCTGTGCCAGACATTCACAGAGTATGCGCTGAACGCCTCCTCTGTCCCTCACCGGCAGAGCGAGCCTCGCTCTCGGTAATTCATCTACTACTCAACGATCACAGGCAGTCAGAGAGTTGTGTCCAGAACGACATCACTCACGAGTCTCCCACCCCTGTGTCTGTGCCAAAACGTCGTAAATACTCTCACATCAAAGAAGAATACAGAAATCTGCATTCTAGAGGCAAAGCGCTTAAATTGAAAACAAAAATCGTGTGTTGACTTCAGTACAAACTTGACATCAGTTATCCTCACTTCCAACAGTTGTGAACACTTTGCATTTTCTAAGGAAATACAGTCGGATGGCAACGTGAAAACTCCTCTACACCCCCACGACCGTCACTCACGGCTAAGTGTTGAGGACATCTTCGCATGTGATTATTTCAAGCATGATGCAGGCGGTCGCTACGACTGTCAAGATCTGAAACCGGCGACTTCAGATATTATTCGCATAGCTGCGGTTTATTCCCTGCTGTACGTACATGTAGTAGATTTCTATAAGGTTCGTCTTAGGTTAAGAATGATCTTTTAGGCAAGGTCACATAGTGTTGTATGCACATATTAGACCAAAATCTTTTTTGTTCACTTACTTTCATTTTTAATTTTATCTCCTTTCAACCAAACGCTAACTTTGACCATTTGGCTGAGTGCGGTAAAGAAAAAAAATGCATTAGACCCATACGAGTAGAACTGAGAACTCGTGAAAGTAGTAGCGTATATATTTTAAGCCTATTTAGTAATTAACAAATGGCTGCTTTCATTTCAGTATAGAGAGAACTGTCTCACTCAGGCATTGAGACTTTTTTATTGAATAGATTTTCTCATGTACATAATAAATGTACCACTTTACATACATACATACACACACACACACACACATACACACACACACACACACACACACACACACTTACATGCATGCATGCATGCATACATGCATGCATACATACATGCATACATACATACATACATACATACATACATGCATACATACATACATACACACACA